TTTTGAATAAAACCTGTTAGGTCGTAAAAGGCGCCCCCGCACCCCCGATTTCTGATTTTTGGCTGCCCAGACAGTAGCCCCCCCCTCTCCTACAAATACAGGATGAGGGCTATACGCTCCGCTTTCTATTTTGACACCTCGCTGCCACAACAACAACAACAACAAAAAGAGACTTTATTTTCACAGACTCTGGAAAACTCAGCTTGGCCTTCCAATCCCTTGCTTCTCCAACTGACATACTTGGCCGCCCTTTCCTCTATTTATTAAAAATGCCCACTTTTTAAAGAGTGTTCTAGGAAAGCGAGGCGGGTTCACACAACCAGCCCAATCCCGCAGCGTTCGCGAAGCATCCCTGGCTAAAAACCTCACCAAAGAAGACTTTGCCGAAATAACTATTTAATATATTGAAATGCGCTCAATTTTAGGAAACTAAGGGTTTTGCCTTCCCAGGACCTCAAGTTCCCCGTTTCAGGTAGGTCCGGCCTCCCACCTCCAAAACCCGGAAAAATATTGGAGCCGCCCAAGTGTCTTGAGACCCTCCACCAGCCGGTCCTTAATTCATACTGAATTAATACCATGGGGTGCGTCGTGGGAATCGAGGAATCCGGGTTAATTCCAGTTTAGTTCAGCTGGGTTAAATTAAATGTAGGTCCGCTTGCTTTTGCAGGAGTCGCCACCGGGATTCAGAAACAGAGACACCAAAAGTCAATTAGAATTCGTTTTTCCCACCTCCTCTGCTGGGCTGGGGAACAGGCAAGTTTTGCAAAGTGGGATTGGGCGCAACCGAGTTTCCTCCCACCAACCCCTCCTCCTCCGAAAGGAAAAAAAAACGTTTTTCCTCCCACTTATTTCAATTTTGACTGAATAAAAACCTTATCAGCCGGTGAGTCTTCTTCTGTGAATATGCTAAAAATGGGCACCAACACCCAACCGCTCCAGCAAGGGTGGTCGCATGATTGGGTGTGGGGTGGAGGGGTGTGAGGTTGTCTGAATTAGAATCCACTTCTTGCCTTATCCCAGACAGGGACCCGGAGGTCGTTAAGAAGCGAGTCAGAGACAGTGCGAAGCCGGCTGTTCCAATTCAGCAAAGCTGACAGTAAACTCAAGCTGGTGTTATCCAAGTAGGCCAATGGATGGTTGCTTAAACGTGGTTTACAAAATAAAACCCTGGTGGCTGGTTTCTAAAACAGGAGGTTCCCCCCAATCTAGTCAACGAAAAATAACCAACATTCCCTCCACACGTTAACGAAGGTTTTTTAATTTTGCTTAGGGCTGGCGTGTATGTTTGTGTGGTTTAGCGTTTGCTGTAGATCCATTGGATTCGTTTCTGGTCCGAGGCAGCGAGCCAATGAACTCAGGGTCGAGCAAGTCGCGTGGGCGCGGCTGCTGGGGAAACTGGGAGGCCACAGTTTAACCAAGGGAACCCAGCTTCAAGCGCGGTTGAAGCTGCGTTCCCCCCACGAGGATAAGCCACGGTTTGCGGAATAGACTCTCTTTGGCTGGACTGACCCACGGCAAATCCAACTCCCAAAAGCTGCCTTTACAGCTAAACTTGCGGGGCAAAAGATTTGAGCTGCCTCTGCCATAGCAGGCGCAAAAAAACCCACCCAGCGGTCAATTTGGGAAGGGGGCTTGGATCCTTTTTGGGGGGAGAGACGCCGGAGGTCATTGTCCCCCCCCCCAGGTGCATAAGGGGGGCAGCTTTCGACGCAGGTGCGAAGCGGAAAGAGAAACGCGTGTATTATTGGTTCTATTATTATTTATTCGGAGTATGTCGGCTTGCCTCGATATACACGCGAAGATCCTTCGCTTTAGACAAGACGCTTTAGAGAACCCGGTTTCCAGATTCCAACGCTACCCGGGACATTTAAATCTCCCCGAACCTCTCCTGATCACACACACCGTCTCCCCCGATTTCAAGCCCGCAAGGCAGATTTCACAGCCCCCCTCATCCCCAACCCGCTGTGGCCGGGCCTGGCGGTAGCCTTTTTGGAAAACCATCTTCCAAGCCGAGAATTGGGCAAATCGGTTCAGAGACCTTTTGGATCCGTCTCCTGCTCATGGCAAGAAGAGCCGCATCGGGGCGGGGGTTGGGTGGGGAGGCCCGCGGCGGTACAAAGAGACAAAGCCCAGGCCGAGTTAGCCACCGACCCTTTGCGCTCTTCTAAAGGAGAAAACCCCGCGCAAAGGGTCCGGAAGCAGCAGCCCCGCGTCTTCTTCGGAGAGGTCCCTTCCCCGGCTAAACCTCGAATTTCCCGCCGGGGACGGGCAGGCAAAGAGGTCGTTTTATATTTAAAAAGCGGGGGATCCGCGGCTTGGACAAAAACTCCCTCTCACCTCTACATTTCCTGTTTCATTTAGGTTTTATTACTACCTTTATTGTCAGAGTACACAACACGTGTACAATGAGATCGGCTGAGCCTCCCTTCATGCATCCCTCCACCCCAACACAACTCACAGCGAGAACAGAAGTCCCTAACCCAGTCCCAATCTTATGACACTATGGGACCTTGTTGCACGACGCGTCGCCCCCGCCTCCTCTTTAAACATTTTTATTTAATTTGAAAATGTTTCTGCACATTTGCGCTTTCCCTTTTTCTGGTTTTTTTTTTTTGCCCAGTTTGGAGGAGAACGCGCGCCTGTCTCTTATTTTCCCGAATTCGTTTGGTTTGAAAGTGGGGTTCGCCCAAGTCGAAGGAAGCCCGGCCCATTCGCTTCGGGTCCTTCTCTGGAAAAAAACGCGCAGCTCCCCCCCCGCCCGTCCCCCCCAGTCTTTCAATGAGACTTAGCGCCCCCGTTAAGCTTTCATTCCGGGCTCGCCCTTCCAAACGAGCGCGCTCCCTCCCATGGAAAGCAATCTCCCCCCTGCTCAAACAAGGCCCGGAGGAAGGCGGCTCGGGCAGCGTGCGCGGACGGAGTGGATGGGTAAACCTGAAGGCAAGGCGCCGATCCGCAGCGCTTCTCCCCGGCGCTTCTCCCCTTCATCAGCCGGGTTTCGCGAAACCTTTAAAGGATCGGCGGGCGGAACGATTTCCTAGGGGAAAATTCAAATAAACAAAGGGAGCCGGGTTTAATAGGGAAACCACCGCCAGGCTGGGCTCAAGAGACGAGGCTCGTTTTCCCGAGCAGGGATGCGCGGTTTTCCAGGCCAAGCTCGATGGGGACTCCAAATTTTCTCGGGGTCAACCGAAAAGAATTTGCTTGCTCGCATTTTGTTTAAAAAAAAAAAGGAAAGAAAGAAAGAGCCGTCCCAAGCGACAAATGTGACGCCCACCTCAGCTGTCTGAAGCCCAAGGCGGGCCGGGACCTATAGGAAGTGTAGTCCCTCACCCCCACTTTCGAAAGAAAGCCGGCGGGATCACTCCCTTCTCCAACCCGTATCGTGAAATAATTCTGACAAGCTTCAAAAGACGCGGGGATGGCGGACTTGACCCTTTCCTTAATTTGGGGCGCTCCAGGGCCTTCATGGCCTGGCATTGAGGAATTCGGGCGGAGGGCAACGGTTGAACAGAGGCCGGGTTCCTCCGTGGGCAAAAAACAAAAAAACCCAAAAACCCTGGTGATCGCGCATCCCGTTCCCACAACCGAATGGACGCGTTTCCTGGTTCAACTTTCAGTTGGCTTTGGATTCGCGGACGCGACTCTGTTCGCCTCTAATTCTACATTTGCACACCCTTTATTTTTACACGCATATATGGGTTCGCACACTGACCTCTATTTCTACACGCATATCCAGGTTCGCACATCCGCCTCTATTTCTACACGTGTATCTAAATCCTCACACCCACGCGCCTATCATAACAGACTCCACCGTAGGTGAAAGAAACTATTTGTCCATTATCTACACCGGCCGCTGCCCCCTTTTGCGGCTTCCTTTGTGGGGAGTTCAGCTGCATCGTGGCGCGGTTGCCCGTGCGGCGCCGGCTTGGTTCGGATCCCAAAGGCCGCCTCGCTTGGTCCCTGGAAGGAAAACGCGGCTAAAAGGACAAGGCCTTTCCTGCCCCGCATTTAAAAGCTTTCTTCCCTTTTCTCGCCAGGCCGACGGAGGCGACTTGAGACACCCGGGAACAAAGCCGAGTGCCGACCCCAGAAATAGGCTCTCCGTGCGCTCGCTCGCCTCGGCCTTTTTCCTAAGAGCGGAGCATCCTCTCCGTGCGTGCAAGGCGCTGGACGAAGCCGGGCCGTCGTTGGTCCGAGAGCTTCCCTTCCCTTCGTCCACGGCCAATCGGCCCCGGTCGGACTGGCCCTCAATCCACCTGGCCGTGGGAATCCCCCAAGAGGAAGAGGAAGGGGAGGGAAAGCGCTTTGCACGAGCTCAGAAGTGCTGTCTACACCCCGGGCCAGCGGAGATCTCCCAGAGCCTTTGAAGCGGAACCTCGGGCCCAAAGGATTCCCCCTCTCTCTCTCTCTTGCCCGGAGAAGCGACTTTCGCTTGGCATATATCTCCCCCACGAAAGGAGGCGTCGGGCCGGTTTGCAAGTGGGAGTCGAAGAGGAGGGAAAGAGCCAAAGGACAGGTTTCCAGGGCGCGGAACAATTCGGGAGGCGGGGGGGAGGGATGCCAAAGACGACCAGAAGAACCCATCCCGCCCAGCCCAGGTAAGAGCAGCCGCCGGTATATTTACCCAGAAGTAATCCCCACCGACTCAATAGTTTCTCCTAAGAAGGAACAAGCCTGCTTCCGGATTCCCACAAGGCGTTGGACCAGGTCGGGGAAGGACCGAGCAGCCTGCGCCCAATCCGTGACCCTGTTGATTATTTTTTTTTAAGGTTTGGGAAGTCTTAGCAGCCTTATTTGGATCCCCAGCCCTCCAGGTTACTCTCCGGTCCATCGTCTTGCGGGGAACACACCTGAACCCGGTTTAATTCAGGAAGCAGGTTAAGCGAGTCTTGTGAATGCGGTGGGAGGCTGACTTCCGTGTCAAAGAGACGTAGATCAATGCCGTGAAAAACGAAAGGAGAGGCGGAGGAAGCGGGCACGAAGCCCTTTGGGAAACTTACCTAAAAAAGTCGTTTTTACAGTAGAGTTTTCCTTCTCGGGAGAAGCATTTCTCGGTCAAGTTACATTTACATTCGCAACACTGGACGCATTTCACGTGCCAGGCCCGATCCAGGACGTTGAGCAGGAAGCGGTCCAGGATGGGTCGTTTGCAGCCGGCGCAGTGAACCATTGTCTTTGGCTAGAGGTCGTGCTGGGGGGGGGGCAGTGGGCCTGGGGTGGGTGGGGCGGGGGGGGGGGGGGGCCGGAGGAGACGGCGATTCCGAAGTCGGCCGAGAGGAAAAAGTCCGTGCTTCAAAAGTCCTTCCCGGACTGCAAAAGAGCAGGGGCACGAAACCAAGGCGAGGAGCCCACAAACGCCAGCCTCAAACGAGACCCCGATGGGGGCAGGCAAAAAAAAAGGGGGGGGAGAGAGAAAGGAGCCCCGCCCGGCTCCGTTGGTTGGCAGAGCCTGAAAGAAGCTGGCAGCTGGTTTTGAACACGATCGGGGCAGGATCGCGGAGCGAGGGGGGGGGGTTTGCCCCTCAGACGCCCCTCTTAGCGCATCTCGCCAACCGCCTTTTCCTTCTCAATTGTCCCAATCATCATCATCATCATCAAAACCAGCGATTTCCCAACCCCCGTCCAGAAGTTTGGTGAGTCGAGAACCAAAAGAAGATGATAAAAGTTATTAATAAAATTGTCCTTTTTTTTCTTTCCTTCTCGGCTGTATGAATGTTTGCAAGAGAAGTTCTTCTCATAAAAGGCCGGCTAATAATAATAATAATAATAATAACAATAGTCAAGTCGAACTGAAGCAGGACGAAAACTCAGAAGAGGAAGGACCATCAATCGGGTGTGAAAAAGAAACAAAGGCGAGGGATTCTCTCAGGGTTGAGGTAGAACAGTCCGAGGTCAAAGTGCAATCAAGGACGAAATAATTTGTTGTTTTTTTTTGTTTTTTTTTTTAAAAAATCCCGCTTCCTCCTCCTCCTCCTCCTCCTCCTCTTCCTCCTGGGGAAAAATAATTCAGCAATAAATTAAAAAAGGGGGGGGGGGCAGCGGGGACCGCAGGCGAACGACAAGTCGACGAAACAGAAACGGGAGGAGCGAATCTTTCGCACCTGGGCCGGATGGGAAGAGCCGAGCCGAGGCGGGAGTGGGGGGCATCAGACACAATCGGGGTCCCTCCTTCTCTACAAAGAGTGTTTCGTTTTTAGGAAACGGAGGACAAGACAAGGAATGGCCGACTCTCTTTTTTTTAACGGTCCTTTTCTCCTCCGTGGCTTTTACGAGTTTTTTTTAAAAATCGAATCGTTTATATATATACACACATATATATATACAGATATATACACATATATATACACATATATATATACAGATATATATATATATATATATATATATAAAAACCCAAAGTTGTCCTAAAAGACGCGGCCCTTCCTCCCTCTTTCCCCCGTCCGTTTGCCTCTATTAAAATAAATAATAATAATAAATAATAATAATAAATAATAAAATAATAAAAATAATAATAATAATATAATATAATAATAATAATAATAATAATAATAATAATAATAATAATAATAATAATAATAATAATAATAATAATAAATAATAATAAATTAATTCCTCGGCCTGGGGGTGGGAGGGGAGTGGGCGAAGGGTAGGGAGGGTGACGAGGTGGGGGGATAGAGAGGGGAAGGAGAGCAAGGAAAAAGCAGCAAGCGACCTACCCCCTTACGAGTGCCTGGGTGCTGGGCTCCCCCACCTCTTCGCCTGGTCCATGGGGACGGCTCGGGTGCTGGGTCGAGGCTGCGTGCCGGGTGGGGGGTAGCAAAGGAAAAGTGGGGGGTAGACCCCGCGCTGGACGGGGGCGGGGAGAAATGCCTAGAAGTCCCCCTCTTTTTTTTGCTCCCCCAAATCCTCTTCCTCTTAGGGCGGCGTGGCTGCGGGGGAGAGTGTTCTCCCCCCCTACCTGGCTGCTTCGCCAAGCGCGCGCCCGCGCGCGTCTGTCTGTCTGTCTGTCTGTCTGCCTCCCTGCCTTCTTCTTCTTCTTCTTCTTCTTCTTCTTGCCCCACTCCGGCTTGGCTGGCGTTTCGGCTCTTGCTTTGGCCCGGCCGGCTTTAGAACTGCGGCTTGGCCTCGGCCTCGCCTCCGAAGCCTTATGCAGCGAGGGGCGACGTCACGGCAGCCGCCGGCCAATCGGCGCCCGGCTGGATGCAGCTGCCCCCTCCCTCTTTCCTCTCCTCCCCCCCCCACACCCTCTCCAACGCCTGGCTTCGGCTCCCGATGCTCCGGAGCGTCTTTGGCGGCTGCCCGCAGAGCCGGCTGCTTTCCGAGGGGCGGAGAGAGGAGACCCGTTGCCCGCACCCCCCGCGACCCCCCCCCCTCCGAGAGAGCGGTACGTTTGGGTCAAGCCGCGCTGTCAAACCCCCACCCCACCCCTGTCGCTGGAGGGTTGGGTGGGGAAGGAGGAAGAGGATGGAGAGATGGGGCGGGAGGGGTTCGAGCACGTCTGGGAAACGCCAGCCTGGAAGTTTTCGACGGGGCGGACTGGGAAGAGAAGCCGGGCCCAGCAAGAGTTGGGCGGGGGAGGGGTCCGGTCTATGCTGGGAGGAAGATCGGGAAAGTCTTTTAAAATTTCCCCTTCCTTTTTCTTTCTCACTTCCCCTTTTTCCCTTTCTCTCTATCTCCCTGTTATCTCTTTCTTGTTTTAAAATTTTCTTCTGTCTTCATTTTCTTTTCTCAGTCATCCTTCCTTCCTTCCTTCCTTCCTTCCTTCCTTCCTTCCTTC